ACCACTTCCAAATCCGCGGCCAGATATCCGGCCTCCTTCGGAATTCTGAATCTGAGTAGTTCCACAGCCCGCAGAGACAATATGGCCCTGGTATTGTTAATTGAAGCCAGATCCCCGCCCTGGCTTGGAATATCCGGTTCTGGGTTTAGGTTGGCGTAGAACACAGGAAGAAAAGGGATTTGGTCTTGTCCAGACTGCCGATTTTCGAGAAGAGATAACAAGTGTTCTACGTCCTTGAGTGAGCCATTGGCGGCTCGAGTTGCGACAGCCTGATGTTTGTTAACAGAGGTACGCAAAAATGTTTCACTCTGCGCACCTGTATTACCGGGGGAAGGCGCGACAGGCTCTGAAGACTCAGGGATGTATGCATCGGTCCAGCTTCCGACCTCCAACTCCTTGGAAGGAATTCCACGTCAATGGTGGTCACAAGGCGGTCAGACAAAAAATAGATGCAAAATTGATCCGGATAGCGGCAGTGTGCTCTCGGAACTTTCCGAGTCTACATTGGTCCTGTATTCATTCTCGTTCGCGAGAAGCCCACTGGTTGTGCAAAGGTGAACCGTCATTTCCTTTTATTTGCAGCATAGAATAAAGCCACAATGGTGTGGCCTTGAGCTTGCTCTCCGGCCGTTGAGCAATCGTAGCGCATTCAAACGACGCTCGAGTATGTAAGATTGGCGCCAAAATAAGGTATGGCAGTGGCGTCTGATGTTTCTTTTTCGTCACTGATCATTGTCATTCCTCTCCGTGTCAATTGCCACCTCAATGCCACCTGCTGAGACTCCCCGCTCGTTGGCTGACCTCCCAACGGAACTTTTGGTTGAAATAATCTTGCATATAATGTCGCGTCACTTGCACTTGTTCGACTTCTTCTCTCCTTTGTTGCCGCAGGGAAATATCTACCAACGATATGCCCAGCGTGAGGTCCTCCGGCGGTTGTCGCAAACCTGCTCCGTTCTGCGGGGCGTTTGCTTACCTTTTCTATGGCAGAGGTTCAATATGCGGAGGAATCACGGTATCTTGGACTTCTGGGATTGCGGTACTCTGGAGCTCGGGCAGGGACGAACCACACTGGACGATCTCGAGCAACAAAAATCGCCGCCAAACCTCGTGCCTACTATGGCCCTCAGAAACGTGTGGTTCCATCTCTGTTTTCCATGTGTTGGGAAGCGATCCACAGCGTCGGGTCCAGATATCCAAAAGGCTCGCCCGCACACAGAGCCCACGTCTCCTAGGAAGCTCTCGACATTCCGGGTGCAGCTCACGGTATCCCAACGAGAACTTGCGACATCTATTTTCCAATCCGTCAGGTATGTCGCTCGATTGACTTTTCCGGGTCCATTGTTCCTTATGAAGACCGTTCACTTTTAGATGCGTAAATATTGCAATGTTAAGTTGGTTTGACACCACAGAAAAATTTTCTCGCCTTGTGAAATTCCTGCTGGCATTGCCACATCTCACTGACCTGCGTATCTACGAGGTCTACTCAAAAAACGACACTCTCCTGTCCTCTGCCTTCGCAGACGTATACCTCCCGACAGTCACCACGCTTTGCCTGCCCGATGAACTTGACATGATCTTCCCGGCATTCCCCAATGTCACTACCCTCCGGTGCCCCATGCTCGACGCGGGCCCAATGCGGGCAGCTAAAGCCCACTTTCCACTCCTCGAAAGGGTGGCAGGACTACGCATGTACAAGAGGGAGGCGGCATCAATTGCTGGTACGCATTTGTCCGGTACTGCTACCATTCTCACTCTTTATTAGCGCTCGCTTACCATCTCCCGCACCTGCGTGCCATCTCGGTCGAAAGCCCGTTGAGTGAGCAGTCCGAGGTAGGTGATTCACTCCCTTCCATTGGCTAGACATGCCCACTCTGGAACTGCAGCACAGTCTGTGGCGCTTCGGCGCCTTTCCACACCTCAGAGAGCTCGCCTTCTACCACCGGGATGCGGAGGGTCTCATTTCTTTGGAAGACCTGGTCGCGGGCACCTCAGGCGTCCTTGGGGCATCACAGTGCCACGATGCAAAGGTGCTCAAGGTGTGGAGCTATGAGGACAGATTATACTCTTCTGGGCGCATTATTTACATAGAGCGTTGGCAGGCAATTTTGAGAGCGGAGTCTCCTTAGATTTCAGTGCCGCGCGCTATCGCAATTTACAAATGTAATTACTTAGCCAAAAATGAAATAATATGGAGGTTGGATTCCTGGTAAATATGGCTGACCTTTGTGTGGGCTGAGCGAATTGGCGGAGACAATAACGACGTCGCCATCGTGTTGCAAGGACAGCAGCCTTGGAGGAGTGTTTGTGTGCAAGCGCATGTGTTATGGTTTCCCTGATCTTGATGCACGACGCCTGGTAGAATCAGGCCTAGGGTGAGGATCTGTGTTTATTTCCCCTCCATTCGTTTGATCTGGATGCGCGGAACCTAATTCGTGTGGAGATCAGTGCTTCAGCGTGAAATAGGGCTGTGGCAGTGCCGATGTTGATTGATGATCGGAATGATCCGAAACTTTTTGCCCTTGACGTCCTTGTGACGTCCACCGTTTTTCCGAGCTCAGTAACGCCTGCTCTTCTTGGTGCTTTTTCTAAAGCCTCCAATTCAACCAACTCGAGTATGGGTCTGTCCTGTGAAAACTCTTGATGGTTGTCTCTCCGCAACAGGTGCGGGAATACGCGGGAATAAGTATGACAACCGAAATTATTCCACCAACCGTCCTCCATGCGAAGAATCAACGACATCATGTGAATGTCAACGCGCGGTCGGTAGGTAGGCAGAATATCACACTAATCCTTCCATATATCACAGACCTCGATCTGCTCAGTTTCCATGAATGCTGCAACAGCCTTTGTCTTGTTTCCGCCTGAGTCTCGGTGGCTGGTCCTCTAACTCCCCTCGACCATGTCGCTGCGTTTAGATTTCTCGCCGTTTGGAACACACTACTTCTTCCTCGTCACAACGGTATTGGCTGCTGTGAGTTCTCTCCGTCGTATCATCCTAACGTTGGGAGCTAAAAAAATCTCTGCGCAGCTTGGCTGGCTCCTTGCATTAATCTTCCAGGCTATTGCCACCGTCCAGCGTGCGTTTCCCCCTTGTTCCTGCTGCATGCCCACTCTAAAAACACCAGTCGGCCACTGCGCTGTCGGCAGCCTCTGGTTCGCCATCATCCTCCAAGCCGCGCTCAATATGGGCGTCATTCTAGCTGTCCTAACCGACTCCATTGAGACGACACGCCTTCAGCTCGCGGCCTTCGCCACGATAGCGACCGTGTTCGCCGTGCAAGGCACGGATCTGGGCGTGTTTGCGCCACAATCCTGCCTGCAGGCAATGGGCGCGGGCTACCTCGCCCTCACGGTCGTCGACATCCTCTGGGTGCTCTACTTCACCGCCTCAGACGACTCACTCGTGTTGCGCCTCCTCGATCCCCTGCCGACGCCCACCGAGCCCTGGAGCGTGCGCGCGTCGGCCGGCGGGGCAGCCAAAGCGCGCACACCCACCATGAAGCCGAACTACAAGCTCGGCAGCGGCGTCGGCTCGCCCGACATGGGCGTGCACGAACCGAAGCGCAGCAGCATTGTGCGCAGCGTCGTCGGCAGCGTCAAGCGCGCGCCGAGCGCGGTGAACCTCCGGCGCAGCGCGACCGGGCGCTCGAGCGCGAGCCGGAAAAGCTCATTCGCGGCGTCCGAGGAGGGCGAGGCGCGCCCGCCGGGGCTGCTCGAAGCGGATGCGCCGCCGGTCCCCTCGCTGGCGCGCTCGACGTGGGGCGGCGGCATGGAGATGCCCGTAGCGCCTGACCTGGCGAGGGCAAGCTCGGCTGGTGCGCTGCTGACTGGGACTGCACAGCCGCCGCTTTCCAATCCCGAGCCTGCGCCTGAAGAACCCGCCGCGCAAAGCGACATTGGTAGTGATGGGAGCACAGAAGAGGTGGTGATTCGCCTCCGTGCGCGCGCGTTACACGCTTGTAAGTTCACTAACCCTGCGTTGCGAACGGTATTTAACTGAATACCGCAGATTCGGGCTCGCCGGGCGACCCGAACGAACTCTCGTTCGGGCAGGGTGAGGTCCTCGAGATCGAGGACCAAGCAGGCAAGTGGTGGCAGGCGCGAAAAGCGGATGGGACACTTGGAAGTGAGTTTTCCCTTCTCCTTCCCTCCTTATTTTTATTTTGTTGTCGCTCCCATTTGTTGCATCTACACTCGTCGCTGACTTGCGTTGGACTTGCAGTCATCCCTTCGAATTACTTCGTCCTGATGTGATATGATATGGGCCAGGGAGCTCTGGCTTCATATCACTATCCTGGTCCAGGTACCACCTACACGGTACTGAGCATTACGCATTCTGCTCGACGTTCGTTACTACACTTGTACTTCTTTTTACCGGCCCGAGACCGCACAAAACAACGTTCATTACCGCCCTTGTATTTTTGATGCCCAGATACATCCATTTGGATCTAAACGATGTGGAGATCGTTACTCGCGCAGGACGCCGGGAATTTAGCGGGGGATTCCACGAGAGGGACGAGTACGGACATCTTCCAAGAGAATTTAAGTTCATCCTTGCAGATTACTCAATGTTGTCGACTCCCCATCGATACATATGCATGATGGGTGTTCACTGACACTCATTTCTCCTCTTTTGTTCTTCCAGAAAAATTTATCCCAGGTTGAATTTTCTGGAATATCGCGACGTACCGACTCCGTATTCCCTGCATCAACTCTAGGGTTTATATGAAGGATATAAGCGCCGGTGGAGCATCGGGAGCCCACGACCCTTTCATAATGACAGCCAGGGTCGTCGATGGGTTGAGATCGGGGTTCAACTCCCCGTCGATGCATTGTGGATTCTTTTTCTCCCACCTGTAGATGCAACAGCTGAAATTCTCCTCTGACATGGACCAGAAGAATCCATGACCATATCTGAAATTCTTTCGAAGGAACACCGGGGTGTATGCTGACTTCCGCATTCAACCCTGCGACAACTCTGGCTATGAAGGGTACAGGCATCGGTGGGGCATCGGGAGCCCACGACCCCTCATAGTGATGAGATCACAGTCATCGATGGGTTGAGAGCGGGGTTCGAATCCCTGTCGATGCATGAATTGCTGGTATCCAGTTTCTTTTTCCTCCTACCTGCGGATGCAACACTTGAAATTCTCCTCGGACATGGACCATAAAAATCCAAGCCTCTGATCAACCTGAAATTCCTTCCAAGGAACGCTGGGGTCTGTGCATGACTTTCACATTCAACCCTGCAACACCTCTGGCTTCTCTGAAGATCCAATGTATGAAAGAATTTATACGGGGTTTGTGAGCTCCATACCCCACCGATGCTTATCCCTTCATACCCAGATGATCTAGATCAGACTTGATGCGGGGTCGACTACGGAACTCATCGGCATGTGTACGTATTGAGGCAATTCAACAGTCGGGTGTTCATTCGTTCTTCAAGCTCCACGTCCTCCGGTTCCAAATGTCCGAGCTCAAGTCTGGGAGATGGGGCTTAGTGGAGCTTGTCGCTTGCTGTTAGTGTGAGAGTCGTCAGATAGTATGACGCAAGGGAAGCACGCCATACACGACTGCGAGTGGCGCAGATGGTACGTGGGACGCAATAATGACGAGTCAGGAAAACAAGGCCAGATTTGGTGAACTGATAAAAAGAAATGGGGATGGTAAAGGTGAAACAGTAGAAAAGGTCAAGAGTGTGCGACCGGGGGCAGGGAAGTTGAAAAAACTGGAAAATGAGGTGAGCAAGTGAATTGAATTCGGTTCAACGGTGGCGCACTTACTATGCAGTACCAGAGTGAAAACCGAAAAAAATGTCGTAAGGAAACGGGTCGACTGCATTCAGCTTTTGTTCACCGATCTTCGGACCCTGAATTGGGACATTCGTGAACCCTAGATGAATGCATCTGATCCGCGGACACGGTCCAGCGCGCGCCCTTTTTTAAAACCTTTCTTGGTTAAAAAACTCACGAACTTCCTCCTCCCTGGCCTCCAGAAAAATTCGCTGGGCAATACGTACTTACTCCTCTGGCCGATGTTCTGAACATTGCAGATTCATCGTTACGTGAAAGTCGAATTCCGTGTCAAATCGAATTCCGATATGCATGGTCATTGGAGACACACGATGAATCTAGGTGAATCTGAGGATGTGTTAAGTGAAGGAGTGAATCCGGATCATTCGGCAAAGTGCTTGTCCGTGCTTGTTGATGCGTGCTGCATCGCCACATGCGAGCTTGCTTTTGATCATCGACCATCTATCGGTAGTGTGACAGTGCTGGCCTATACCAGGCCCGTAGTGTGAGCGGATACTGTTATTCGACCAAATGTCACGGGTGTCACCTGTCACTAAGATGTTCATTTCTTGGTGTTCATTCCTCGGCAATCATGGGAAACTTGCCATATGTAGTCCGGAATCGACCGAAATTTTGGTGTTTTTCGGCCTATTTGGGCCGCAAATCAGAATGTCACCGTCACCTAGGCCAAAATGTTCAGTTCCCCCTCCTCACCCGTCACCTGAACATTGGTCGAAATAGTACAGTAAGACTCAGAATAAATATTATGCTCGGCTAGGTCCCCTTTGTCCCTCCGCGTTCATCCCTCATTCACTACGAAACGGTATATGTATCCCATCTTATAGACACCGGATTCCTCCACCGTGGTTGCTACATGTTTCTTGCGGCCTTTATTGCACCGGCCTTGGCATTTCGCCGTTTTTTTTTCCCGTTCTGATGTCACCGTGACTTTGCTTGCCAAATCTCTTTCCTCTGAATCTGGGACATCGGTTAGCTACGGGCTCGTTCTGGGTCCTCGCTTAGTATTTCTATGTACCAAGGGTGTTTTCTCTCTGCTGGCGCTGCGGGCGAAATGAAGCAAACCCGCATCCGGAAGCGGTGCGTCTTGTTTGATTTAACGGTCTTTCAAAGTTCGGCCGATGCGAGCCTCGAGACGGATTCCTGGACAGGGCGTAAACATCATGTAAAAGGGTCCCAAACACGGCATAAACGATGTGTCCCGTCGACCTATCTCACCCTGTGTGTCACACAATCCCCGAAGCCGGTGGAATCTCCGTCTCCAACATCCGACGCCGGACATTGAGTATATCCTTTGCTATCTCACTGGACATAAGCAGGTGCAGTCCGACGCTGAATCTGTTTCTGGGATGCAACGGCTGGCCTTGGCTCAACTTCGGACATTGTCATCAGCCAGCGCCTCGAACATGGAGGCGTCTTGGATCATTTAGAAGTCTTTCGATTATCTGGGCCAGGATGTTTCGTGCAGCCACATCTGTGATTACTTGCCCACAGTGGCGCACTCTCCATCACAAGTCATCATATCCAGCAAACCATCTATCTTTGCTGGTTCTTTCAACTTTCAAACTTTTATTAGCACAAGGCCGATTTTGACGGGGCATATTTTCCCTCGGCATAGAATCGAAGCATCGAATTGGATGCCCCCAATTCAACTTGTCGCTCTCCCAGGCATCTTTCATCTGCTTACCGCTGGTCTTCAATTAATCTTCATCCAGAATTAATATTTTTGAGCTCGGTCTCTGTGTGATAGATGGCTGATTAAGTGGCTCGGACTGTTCAGTGTTATGATCAACAATGTCAACAGTCTCCATGGTGATTCGACTTGTTCGGCTCGGGCCGAACACCACTCTGCTGTTTTGCTCTCGCACCTCATACGAACAAGGACAGGCATGCTAGTCTCATTCCTCCGCAATCTGGTCTGTATCCCATCGAGCTATGCGGATTACGACCCATTGGAGACCATCGAGCAAGCGGCCTGGCCAGCCGTGAGCTTCCCGCCCCCTGTGGGTCCCATTACGCGCCTCCCGTCGGAGCTCATCCACCTCATCATCCGTTCCACCGATTCCACCATGCTCGCGACATGCAGCCTGGTCTGTGCAAATTGGATGGTGCATGCGCGCGCGCGCATGTTTTGCTGCCTATCGATATCCATGTCAAACGCCGATCGCTTCAGTCGGCTATTCTCCCCACCTGCGCGAGTCACCTTTGGCTCAAATGTGCGCGAAATTGAGCTGGACGACACCATAGTTGGCGACTTCTGGACATCTCATGTCCTCCCAAGGTTCATCGCGGACTTTCCGCGTCTACGGACTCTCACCATCTTTGGTGTTGTGCCCGCATCCCTCCCTAGTGCCTTTCAAGTTGTAACCCATCTTGAACTGAACTACGTATCCAATTGGCGACTCTCGAACTCCCCGGATCGACTGGCGAGCTTCATATCGGCATTTCCGCGCTTGGAGACGCTGAAGTTGGCGCAGGAGAGCGGGCCGTACGTCAGTTTCCGCTCCCTCTCCGACAGTATCTGTCCCCCACCACATCTTCGCCACGTGGATCTCGACAATCCCCTTCTTCTCCCTTGGCTGACCTCGGTCACCCCCCGCCACCCATCGAAGCTGTTCATTTCGAGATTTCGCGTCCCGGAGCGCTCGTAGCACTCGAGTCTCTTCGGTGTCTCTCGCCCTCTCTGCGCACTTTGGAGCTTATTCTGTCTGAAATCGACATTGGAGGTAAGTATTTCCATTCCTCCGACTATGGAATGCACAGCTCATTCTACCCTACTTACAGAGTCGTTCCTGAACCAAAATCACCTCGACGCGAACATGCAGCTCCATACCCTCCGTCTGCAGGCCGACCACTCCCAAGCCGCTCAGATCCTCCTCAAACTCCTCTCCTACATCGATACCTCCTGCCTGGAGGAAATCTCGCTCAATTTCGCCATCCCTTACCTCGATAGCCCCGTGCTCACTCTCCTCCCTTGGAGCGCGCTGGACGCGGCGCTCGTGGCACTCCCCGCGCTCCGCCAACTCACGGTCGTGAAGGTGCTGGTCAGTCCGCAGGGCTGGCGCTCGCGCATCAACCAGCGCACGGTGCTCCTCGACGCTGTCCACCGCCTCCCCTTGTGCCGTGATTTTGGGGTCGGAGTCGGCCCGACCGACGGGAACCTGAACTCGCGGCCCCCGAGCCGGGCGGCGGGAAGTCGGGGGTATCTGATGGATCTGCAGGCATGGAGGATACCTCCACAGGCATTCTGAGGGTACCACTGTAGACGTTTTGAGGGCCTTCACAGACGTTTGAGGGTACAGACTCCCTCCCCCGCGTGCACGGCACTCTGAGGGTGCTCCCGATGGGGCGACGCTTCAGGGCGACATAGGTTGGTTATCTCGTGAATCATTGGACGCATATCCAGACGAATCATCATCTACGGCAATCCATGTTTAAACGACGTATTTAACGACGCTATCTAGAATTCACTGTTCCTTTCGACGATATGGCAAAAGTCGAGATTCCGGAGTCCTCGATTTTGCCTCAATTTAATCTGATTCTGTTTCAAGTTGCCCTTGAGTCAAGGGATGATCGATGAGTACCGAGTGATTCCCCGCGAAGTTGAACTCGACTGTGTGCGCCAGATTCCCTCATCTTTCCGTCACCACCATTTTTCAGAACGTGAACTTCGTGCGGCCGCCGATTGGACGCGGTATGACGTTGCACGCATTACGTTGACCACGTTGAAATCACGTTGAATGCCGTCCACAAATTCAGATCCTCTTCGAGTTCTGAGGACTGAGTCTCATAGTCAAAACTATCCTCTCGGTGTTTCAGCGTTCGCCTCTCCATGCGGGCGAAAATCCAAAGCTGTGTCACTGTGCTTCACAAAGCGCAAACGGAGGATGGGCAATTAAAGCATCCCACAGAAAACGATAACGAAATCTACAGTAGCTCACACGGACGCCGATTATTGAGACGTCTATGTCGGCACCTGGCTCGAGGCTCGAGGCATTATGAGATAATCCTTTCAAATTCTCAACCCTTCCTTGTGGCTTCGGTTTCTTTTCACTTCTGCCGACACAGTCGGGTGCTCAACTAATCTGCTTCCATCAAGGGAGCTCCACTCGAATTTACAATAGGTAGACTCCTTCACTAAAGCCGCCAGGTACACGCGCTCTTCATTCACTAGTGCCGTTCAAAGTTTCCCTAATTCGCTCCTTTTGGGCTCCTGGTTCGTTTCCTGTTTGCATCCAGGAAGTCAAATAGGAGATGCAAAAAGGAACCAAGTAGGGGCAAC